TACATATTGCTCTGTAATGTTATTGCAGGTGAGTCTCATTCTATGTTCGCTGGTCAGCGCCTTTGCACAGGTGCAGCAAAGGCCTTTGGATTATCCCAATAGTAATGTGATACCCATCATTTCATATGTAAATGAAAACAACTACGATGGTTCATACAAATACAGGTAATTTTTTTAACGATGCAATATTTATCAATCAAATTATTAAATTACCAGTTGCAATGGATTGCTAGTCAGGTCTCTAGTAGTTGAAAAACAAAACTCAAAACATCATCTATTTTTAAAAGAAACATGGTGTTCACGCCACACACTGGGACGAGCTAACGCTACTGTTGAACATTGGGTTTGGGTGGAAAAAAAAGTTACAATATGCAAGATTTACTGCATCATGGATGAGCTAACGGCATGTTCCGGGCCGAATTAGGTTCTTCTAGTGAATCCTAAAATCGCTGAAACACCAGTTTTTAAATATTCACATAGTTGTTAAGACATTTCATAGAATTGTAAGACATTTCGCAAATCGGCCGAAATCACCCAAAAAAACAGACATACCCTATTGTTGACAAATGTTTTAAAAACAGTTTTCAGACCTTTCCCCAACCTTTATCCCAATATGTACCTTCATCACCACAAGAAAACCATCTATTATCCTATTTAACTATTCAACCAATACTGTAATCATCCTTCAGGTAATTGAGCATGTGCCTGTAACAGCAGCAAAATATATTGTTTAACAATAAAATTCTTTAATTATATGCCGTCCACTATTCATTTATCAGATATGGTAATATTCATGCTTAAACGTGACAAATCCATGCAAAGGCATATTTAAACACCTGGCTACTCAAATATATTGACATTGAAAACAAACATCTATTATCCAGTGTACGTAACGGTAATCAGAAGAGGAACTACCATATACCATAGACCATATACTACACGGAGAGAGACCATATTTATTTTAGGAATTTGCATTTATATTACCCTCCACTGTTTATTTTTGTTGTTAGTACACCCATTAAATCCAGATAAACGTGTAATTAAATTATATAAATTCCTTACGATCGTATTTTAAAAATATAATGAGAATGATTATTCATGCATATCATCAGTTTAGTATATTTAAAAATTATATTAACACTTCAAAACTATTAAATACATACATATATGTATATATATATATATATATATATATTTATTTATTTATTTATTTTTCACCTAATATTAAAGCGATTATTAATGAATATTATTATTTTATTTTAGCACCTAAATAGTTTAAATTATAAAAACATTATTTGATTTTCAATTCAACTTCTATTTAAACTAAATTAATAATTTATAAAACTAGTTCATAGTTTATTCCACAGAAATCTGGAGTTTTTAAAGTATTATTGAGCAAATAGATTTGATTTTTGGTCCAATAAATTTTGTTGTTTCTAATTTTTAGTGACGGTGATTTATTTAGTAACATTTTAATATTTTTTCTTCACGTTTACATTTAGAGAATTATACAAATAAAAAATAATATATAAAATTCTATTTTGTAGGACTCCAGCCCGAAAGCCGTTTTCAATAGCTGATAGGGCATTCGTTGAATAGATTTCTTCAGAAACAGCATATGAGTAATTTTTAACGGTTTTGGGCTTAGAATAGTTTTAGGCACACATTTTTTTAACGCACGGAAGTAATTTAACAATTGATAGGTAACAAAATATATTTTTTTTTAAGACTTTAATGTATGAAAATTATTGTTTGCGATTTTTTATTTTTTATATTAGAGATGATCCGTGAATTATTTCTTCGCGAACGCTCCTTCTTTTAAAGCGGGACTGTTAACTTTCCGACAACGTAAGGCTTGTTGAGGACTGTAAATTTCTTGACTCACTGATATATATTATATTATTTATTTTAACAATTTATAAGAAATTCGTACTTAAAGCGAATTATCAAGAAATATATATATATATATTTTTTTTTTTAATGGATCAATTGATTATTTCGATCATTTAATTATGTATTATTTTGGTTTTTAAAAGTCAATCATTTTTTTTATTGCTTATGAATCTCTTACCAATTTATTTTGTAACCCTTTCAATTTCATTCAAGGGTCAAATGAAAACAGGTGATAAGTGACAGTTTAAAATCCTTAGAAATAAAACTAAATAAAACGTTCTTGAGAACTGCAAAATTGATCTTTTGTACCGTATCATATATAATTATAATAATAATACTTTTTTTATTCTGGGACGAGTTACTAAATTTAGGATCCTTTAGAATAATAAGGAGAGACAGAAATGTGGGATAAGTTGCCTCAGAGATACATAAACAAAAATACAAAGTAATTAAATACTCAAAATAAAATAATATATATATATATATATATATATATAAATATATATTTGTTATTTTCTAACTTTAATTGAAAAATATGAAGTAAAAATAATTAAGAACAATTTAATAATTTATATACATATTTAGAATAATATCTATTTACAATTTTACTGGGACTGGATGGATAAAAAAATCATTGAACAGGCGGGATTTAAAAGTAGAAAGAGCATTGGATTGACGGATGTCTGAAGTGATGGAATTCCATAGGGATGAAGATCGGAAAATGAACGATCTGTCGATTGCAACGGTCGGTGGGCCCTTGTGTATAAATCTGAAGACCGGGAACGAGAATTGCGGGAACGAACATAGGATTTGAATTGAAGGAGCTAGGAGGTGTATGAAGGACGGCTTCATCCAAGTCATCCAATACTTGAAAGTGGAAGGATGCCATGAAACATCCCTTGGGATCCCGAAGATATGTAGCGTAGATTACTGTTTTAGCGTTATTTAGATTTCTCAATTTTGAAAATTGTGAAATGATGTTAATTAATTTCGATTTGAGATGATGGATTTTTATTTTAATTGTAATATATGATTAGATTTCGACTTTTATATTTACAAGCAGTTTTCATTAATTTCATATTGTTTTTGCATTCGGTTTCTTTACAAAAAAAAAAAACAACAACATATATTTCTACTACATTTTATCTTTTACTGTCATTCAGAACAGTATTTTTTTATTACATCGAGGATATTGCCATAAATCTACCTAACTGTCTGATTGAGTTAAGCCGCTAAGAAATGCGCGTCACAACAGCGATTAAACAGTTATGACGATGTAGCACGCAAAAGAGGTAGAAATTTATGGTTAAGTTTTGTAATTACCGTTACAAAGACTTTCGCAAGGCAGATGGTACGTAAAGATTTGTGAAATAGTGGCTAGAGACCTTTTCCAATCAAGCCTTTAGAAGAAACCGTGAACTTTTAAGTTTTCATGAAGTGTGTAAACTACAAGAGCGCAGGTTGAATATCAAACGCAGCTGGTCTGTAATTGGAATCCAGAAACCGCAACCATCAAACTCGAGGAGGGATGATGTTATAACGATCGTTTTCTTGAGCCTAGTCGTGATTGGATAAGACTTAGCGGTTGTTTTTCAATCAAATATTTTGGAACTACGTGGTTATTAAACAATGAACATCACGTATAGTTTAAACACAGCGAAACTCTAATGAAAGCCGCCTCTCGATAAAGTTTTAATGTTTATTGTAACTATGTAAATGTTTTACCGAAGACAATATGGTTTGGAAGTTGGTTGTCGGTTTAATTTTATATGGATGTTGGAATATGAAAGTTGTTAAAACTCATTAATAGCTGCATTACATGATGAAAAAGTTAAAAATCGTTCTTCTTTAATGTATATGCAAGTAACAATCATAATGATAGCAACGTAACTTTTATTCAAGGAAAATGAGATATTTTCGTAATTGTTCTGTTCCATAAAAGTCATAAAAATCGAAGTATAAAAGCCTCTCCATATAAACACTTTATCGAGTTTAATTAATATGAATAATCGTTTTGTTGGAATGTTATTCAGCAGGAGCGAAATCTTAAGATGTTATAATTTCAACAAACTGTAAATGGCAAAACAAGTTCAATAATCCTTAATGAAATATTTCAATAAATCAAGAATAAAATATTAAATTTTTAGCATCTAAGTTGCTCTCTTTAAGTGTGTATGTTTTCGTAATTTTTTTATCAGGCCCTAATTCCTTACAGCCTTATCTCTGATATACTGGTAACGAGTAGTGTAGAAAGTTAATGGAATATTCGTTTAATCCTTGTTTTCTCCTACTCTCTGAACCCATAGATTAAGATGCAGTCGTAAGATAAGTAAATCCTTGAACTATTCTAATATTCTGATAAGTTATACAGGGACATCGAGCATGAATCTTACGTCTGTTTATTATTGTTGCCAAAAATCGGTCTTGATCTTGCACTTTGCAACACCAATGCTAACACCGCCTATCTGTTGCAAGACCAAGCAAGACTCGTCTGGGTCTCGCATTTGGGCAACACTACTGTTTATAGTCTTGGGTTCGATGTTAGCTACTCTGCTTTGATTTTATTTTTATATTAAATTGTTATTTACAAATATCTGAAGAAAATGGATTTAAAAGTAGATAGTTCGTAGTTCCTGTAGGCTACGACAAGCACAATCTACAACTCAAATAGAGGAACTGCGCTGTGGGAAGCGTTGCACAATACAGTTGACCTCATCTCTTAATGATTCGTAATGCATTTTTTAAATGCTCTATCGACTTCACTGTTGTAAAAGTTTTGGATGTCCGAATATTTTTTTCTATTTTTTCCAATAAGATTAATAAGGGTATGTAAATTCATTCATGAATAACTAATTGACATCAAATAATTAAACTAAATGGCAATGAATTCATAATTGTTAGGATTTCGTAAAAAATATTAGCCAATTTTTTTTTTCATGGTATTCACTCATTTACGAGTTACCGTAATTGTAAGGTTGCCAACGCTCTGTGAACTTTAGAGGAATTGAACCATTATAGATGCCGAAGATCGCGGATAACAATGACCATTGTTCTCCATTCTCCAGAGAAGACAGACGGATGTTTCCTCAAGGTCCGCTTATTCGCCGATGACTCGTTGGATCGGCATCCCGAGTGAAGAAAGCGGCCGTTTCTCGGTCCATCCTCGACGTCGAAGGTCATCGAGTGTAACCGATGTCCTTCGTTCAAATTTCGTGTGATATTAGTATTTGTATAATATACTAATTAATTTAAAGAGTCTGTTGTGAATTTTCCGTTAGTTTGCTTTATGAAAGAAGGAAAATAACTTTTTTAAATTTTCCTGTACTTTTTTATTTAAAGAATTCAAATAATTTATTCACTTTAGCTTTGATAGCTGTTCAATTAAATACTATACAGGCCTGTTTACATATTCGAAAATTGTCAATGAACTGTAGCAAAAAAATATAAATTAATTTAAAATAAATATTTAAGCTAGAATACCATCCAAGTTACGTATGTTGATGCTCTTCCAATTGTCTGAGGATGAACATTAGATTGCAAGTTGCTAGCTAGGAGTTTTGTAGAGAACTTTTATTCTGGGAAAGCAGGTAATGTGTAGACTAAAGCCAGGAAGTAGGAAAATAGATAATGAAATAAAACGAAGGAGAAAACTTTGTTATTGCATTATTTTATATTATTTAAAATTAAAGAGTTTATCGTTTTGTGGCCTAGATTTGAAAATTTTCTAATTGCATTTATTATAATTTATGATAAATTCAAAGTTACGATTTACTCTAGTATAAACATTTTGTTAATTAGACCGACAATTTTGTTTGTTTGTCGAAACCTTGAAGCAATGAATTTATGAAGTTATATTTACCTTCGTTTGATGACTTAACTGTGACACTTATTAATATAATTTTGAATATTGAAATTTTGCAGTTAGAACTTTGTCATTCCAAAATGCATTTTCGAAATCAGTAAAAGTTCTGATAGAGAATTTTCAAACCAATTATCTTTTCTTTTTTTTGGTTGGTTTAGGATGTTGCAAGGCCGTAAATGCAATAAAAGTTTTTCTTTCTATTAAATTATGTTTTTCTTTTTAAGTTAAATGAAATAAATGCTATTTCTTTAGGAAGCAATAACCATCTATTATAATTAAGGGAAAAATATCGACCACAAAAAAAAAAAAAAAAAAAAAAAAAAAAAAAAAAAAAAAAAAAAAAAAAATATATATATATATATATATATATATATATATATATATATATATATATATATATATATATATATATATATATATATATATATGGGGAGTGGGGTAGCTCAGTGGTAGGGCACCACGCGAGCTTCCAATGCATCCGCGAGCTTCCAATGCAAAGATCCTAGGTTAGTACCCCGGCTCATGGCAGAAAATTTATTTATCTGTTTCATTGGCCGTGGGGCGACCCTGGGTCGGGAGACCCTCCTGGGGCACACCCAGCCTCTATAAAGTGGGTAACCTTAATTAAATAATTAATTAAGGGGGAAAACCTAGCGGTTGAGCGTGATCTATATTAAATCACCTCCTTGCACAACCGTTGACCTAGAAACAGTGCTTTCATTAAATAGTACTGAACTCCAGACCCTTCATGGGTTGTAGTGGTACAGGTTTATATATATATATATATATATATATATATATATATATTATATATATATATATATATATATATATATATATATATATATATATATATATATATTTTGCATGAACAACAGCAGAGTAAAAGTCCCAAAAGAATGTTTTGATCATCTTATGATACATGCATTACTAAATCCTGAAGTAAATAGCTTAAATTTTTTTCGTTCACACATGCACCTATATACTCTATATCACAAATTATTTTTTAATTTATTTTTACATACTAAAATTTTAATAATACAATGAAATAATCTAATCAAAAATGTTATATACATAAAACAAATCTTTACTAATCATATATATATATATATATATGATAAAATATTATGTTTATTTCATAAAAAAAACAAAAAAAAACTATAAATCATATACAGTTACATGGTATAGCACATAAGTTGGCAACCTTTTTATAATTAGAGGACGGATCAAGGTTAGGCTGTGCTAATGTAGGTCGGAATAATTCTTTATATTTTACGATGTATAATTGACCAATTATTCCGTTGTCCACCATCCGTCCCCTCACACTCCCGTAGCCCCTCCCCAAAGGGCTATCCCGTGACCCTGCTCCTTTCGTAAGGCAGTTCACCGAAGTGAGGCAACACCGGAGGATGGGGTTTCGACAGCCATTGTCTTTTCAGGCGAGCGAACATCCCAGTTCTGATAGCCTGTGTCCGATCGCTGTTCCGATGGCAGCCAAGGACACCGCTTGGTCAGCAGGTGGTCGGTCACTTTTTCGACACGAGTCTTATCTCAGAGTAACAGCGTTGCCAAACGTTCACAGAGTTTTACTGTTTAACGTTAACAACTGTTTTAGGAAAAAATAAAATTTCATTTGAAACGTTCCCTCCGCCACTACAAGGTTTTGTTTTATTTATCAGTGTAGCCATTATAGATTCATGTTACAAAGCTGTGAAGAAACTGATAATTTGTTGTTTTTTAAGTGGTCCTTAATAGACAAGCACCAATTTAACTTCAACCAAACTTCTACAAATTAATTAGTTTTCGATTTTCCATACCACACTAACGATTCTAAATCATAAATAGGCGACCAGTATTCAGATTGTTTATTCTTAAAATATAACAATTTTAATTACACCTTAATTGAATTTCAACTACTCACCATTTTAATTAAAATACAAAGTTGGGAAGGGGATGAAATAAGCGACGGCAAAATTTATCTTGCTCCTCTCGGAAAAGATCCGAGTTCCGGCCCTGCTTATTGGTTCGTCCACTCAACTTTAATTTATTTGTGTACACCCTCGAACATACAACCAGGCAAAAGTATATTCATAAAGTCTCCTTGAAATAGGTATTGTTTATAAATTATTATTAATCTACATTTAATTGATTTGAAACACTAATTAATCTACACTATCCTTACATTGTGCAAACAATATATATATTTCTTATATTGAATAGGGTGTCGAAACTGGAAGATTAAAATAAGTTCCAATAAATCCCATCAAATCACATTTACCCTTCGTCGTAAACCAATGACTTGCTGTCCTACAGTATCCTTTAATAACACCCCACTTATCCCTGTAGAACAAATCCGATACCTAGGACTCCACCTGGACAAACGTCTTACTTGGAATCCTCATACAAGACCGGAACGACAAGAAACTGCCCGACTTTTCCACTTCGTCCAACACTTACTCGACAGACGCTCTAAAGTTGTAATTAATTACAGACGACTCATATACATGACTATAATAAGACCTATTTGGACTTATGGAGTTGAGATATGGGACTCCACTAAACCATCAAATTCCTCTCGTATCCAATCCTAACAATCCAAAATCCTTCGTGAAATCCTCAATGCTTCTTACCTTGCCACTAATAAAATAATCCATAAAGACCTTAATGTTCTATATGTTTCCGATTTGGCCCAATCCAGATACTTATCCAACCATAATAAACTTCATAAATATCCGAATCCTCTTTTTTCTAACCTTGCTTCGTCTTCGATTCCTGATAAGCCTCCGAGACGTCTGAAAATTGAACTTCTCATGCAGACATATTATTAGAGTACTACCAATGGGTAGTTTCTCAACAAGCGTTTTCATGTGATTATATTCCTCTGTACATATTTACATGTAAATATTATAATAAAAGTTAAAAAAAAACACATTTAATAGGTTTTGTGTTATTTTGTTGCACTTTTTGCTGCAATTGATTCGATTTTCTTCTCCTTCTTCTTCTTTATTTTATCCTTTTTGTGCCTTTCAGTGTGGAGTTGCCTCGAGCCATGATAAATATGATGAAAACTCACAAATATGTTCTGACAGATTCAAATCCTTCAAAAGCATTCTTTATGACATTTTTCAATAAACTGTCGTTATGTAAATATACACTCCTACTCATGAATATTTTACTAGCAAACATTTCTAGCCAAGGCAAAAAGAAGACGGGTCAAGGCACACTGGACGCATCATAACTGACATTAGAAGATGCGAGGAGAGGGATGGGTGGATAGAGCAGGCAGATACCATCTACTCCTGCGGTACAACCATCCCCATTATCATATACAAGTACTTTCCCTGGGAGTAGCGAAGGTCCCTCTATCTATTAGCCATCATTAAACGGTAGTCTAAGATACATCACTCATTAATGTTCTAGAGGTTCTCTCATATCCCAGCTCAATCAGTTATTATAATTGCACTTTCCTCTTTACATAGAAGAGTCTCTACGTTACACAGATTTCATTAGAAAAATTCCAATAAACTTGATTAGAAATAAAACCATTATGGTGAATTATTTTATAAGTAACTTATAATGAGTGAGTATAATAGTCTTAGATATTTGTTTTGTTGACATTGTCTAAGTAAATAGCAGAGATAGTTTCACGTCGATGGGTAAAAGTGATTTGTCATGGTTGAGTCGAATTTCCCCAGAGTTTGCACTAGTCGCGGAATTTTGTTTAGGTGATATTGTAGAGTTTGTTGAGACGTTTATTGAATTTTTGTTTTGCCACGATAGTTGTATCGTCTGCGTAAGTCGCGGTCAGAGTATCGACACTGTCTGGATTATTATATGTGAAAATTATATATAGCAGAGGAGCTATCATTTAAAAGAATTGACAATATTTAACTGTTAAGAGTTATAAAAAACGGATAGCTATGAACTATGAAATCACTTTATGATTAAACAAAGCAGTAATATTTTTCAAGGTTGAAAAGAAATTTGCAAGAATAAGGATTAGTTTGTAAAGAAAGGGACTATTTTCTGGATTCTAAGGATATAGCTAAGGAATAATGATTAGAATAATAGGAATCAGCCTCCATAGGAGCTGTTTTAATGTGGGGCGTGATGTCTTTTGTTATGGAAGCAATTGTAATTAGCAGCGAAGTAGCAGTCAAATTTTATCTTCCCTTTCTCATAAGACGAAGCAACAAGCTCCGAAGTATATATTTCACTAAATCTTAAAAACAATAATCAACATATGTATGTTCTGTATCAATCCATGAAGACGGTTTCTTACAAAACAACAACAAATGGTCATTATGTTTCACACTTTTTCCTCCTACATCGTCTTTTCGGCTACATGAGTTTTTCCAGCCCAAGGGAGAGGACGGAGGATTAAAGCCAGAGTTAAAAGCCTCCGGCTTCGGGAAACGAACTTGTAATACTAGTTTATCAGGTTGCTGGGAAACACTTGTTTCCCACACACATTTGCCAGCTCACCCCTTCACGTTGCTTACTTACTACCTTGCTACTATGTAAGGAAAGAATTATAATTGGATCAAATTTGTAGCCATTGGTATGTATGCAACGGGTGTTTCTTGAATTCATGTAGCGATTTCATTGCTACTTTATTTAATTTTATTATTTGTTTGCACCAGTAGAGGATGAGTAACAGGAGAAAAGCCTATTGTTCCGTGAATTGTATAATGCAAAAATTTACCTGTCAAATATTTTAATTCATTATTTTAAATTTAAGTCGATTAGATGCATCGTTAAATTTATTTATATCTAATTCTTGGACCTTGATGCCTTAATGTTGATGTTAGCATCAAGGTCAAATTAAACAATTCATCATAATAATTTTATCTTTGTGGTTAAGTAAATGGTTATAATATAACAAGTTCTTGTCTTTAATAAGAATATGAAGAAAAAAATTACATAGTTTGTTAATTTGGTCTTAGAGATTCAGAATAAAATAAAATAAATCCTATCTGAACATATTGAAGCTAAAATCTTTTCACAATAGGTAATAATTATTTCAACGTCTCTTTTTAATATGAACCTCCCACACTTTTTTTTTTTCAGCTATGAGACGGGAAATGGTATCTCAGTCCAGGAAGAAGGTTTCTTGAAGAATCCAGGCCTAGAAGGAGAAGAAGCACAGACTTCCCGAGGTACCTACTCTTACACAGCTCCAGACGGTCAGGTCATCACTGTCAACTGGTATGCGGATGAGACAGGCTTCCACGCAGAAGGAGCTCACATACCATCAACGTCTTCCCCTGTCCTAGGACCTCCGGTGACAGTCGGACCTGTTCGTCCAAAACCACCAATAGAGCAAGGCGAATCCTTCGAAGCATTGCCTGTCAGGCCTGCCGCTGAATTCTTTAGGGGATAAAATCAATGCTTTTTGGATGTCACTGTTTAATGCAGTTGATAGTGGTGTCAACCAAAGTTTTGTAAAATAAATATATGAATATCTAATGTTTTTATATTTGTTTTTTTTTTTTAATTATTCTTATGGATATTTGTATTCAGCAAGTATTTACTCTGACTTCAAATGACACAACAATGCCTTTATACATCATTGATTGAAAATTGACCCCCAAAAGCTACTTCCAGTTGGCTTCCAACTACAATGAATTTTTCCAGTTTCGTGTGTTCCGTATACCCTCGACTCTGTCGGAACACTACCAACTACAGGACCTTGTGTGTTTCAGCTTGTCACATATAGTGAAACTGCATGTGTATGTACCAACAGTTTTTGGTATCGTCATGGGCTAACCATACCTCCCTAGGCCAATGAATTTCATTATGTCTATGTCCCATTACATACTCTATGTCACTATATTATTAAAGATGTAACACTATTCTTTATTCAGTGGTGGACCAGGGCATATGATGAACTTGGGCAATTACATCATAGATACCAGATAATCCTTTTAAGTATGAGCTATTTTCTTAACTTTTGAATATTATTTTATGTTTGTATATCGTTCAATTTGACTATGTTTCATTTTCTGCGTTTACTTAAAATTAAAATTAATTTACCATATGTTTTTTTCCATTAATCATACTAATTGTAAGTAAAAACGTAAATAATTATTTTTACATACTAATAAGTGGTAAGAGATTCCCGGTTCGGCATCCCAAAGTCAGTCAGATCTACATAATCAAAAATCGAAAACGGTACTAGAGTTAGGGAATTCTGAGGCACTGCCTTTATAGGACCAAATATCTTCTGTAGAATATTAAGTTCACAAAAAAATAAGTTTTTTTTTTTAGTTCTTGACCTCAGACACTTGGGCTTGAACTAATTGAACAAACTTTATATAGAGTTTTATTTGTAACCAGATATCATTTTTTGTTTCCTTTCATGGCGCTTTTGCCATACGGGGTTTCGACATCAATGGGTTAATGCGTTGGAAATACGTACGTATACTACTGTAAATAAGGCTCTTTATGTAAGGGATATAAACTACACATATAAACTACTTATGTCCTTAAGAATAATATGACATCTATTATTGACACGACATATATTAATCTAGCTATTTATTGCCCTAAAGCCTCTACCCTATCCTACCGTAGCCGTATTATTAACGGGTAATTGACATGCGATTTGTGTTTCTTGTATGAGGTCTTATCTAAATTTCACATCGGTTCATAAATAGATGAAACTGAACAACTGTTCAAATATTTATTGGTTGGCTACAATATAAGTTAGTATTTAGCTCCTTCACATCTAGACCAAATCTGAAGAAAACTTCTTTTAGAGCCTATTGTCATCTTTTTACATTCTGGCGACAATCCCTAGGAACATAAGAAATGAGTATAAGAATGCTGCTGATGTTCGTATACCAGGCTCCCTAATAGCCCTTTCATCACATTTATTATATAACGGAATAACGTCAGTGCATCTCTTTGCCTCACGGCACAACCAGCTTCCAAACTATTAGAGTTCCACATGCACCACCAATCTTAAATTCTGCATGGTCATGCTTGAAGAACAAATCAATGACTTCGGAATACCTGTTCTATCTAACGTTTTTTTAAATTTATTTACTGGCATGAGCTACCTTAGTATATGTATTTCTTATTTATTTATACGTTGAGTTTACAACATTATTAAAAAAATGCAACCAGTAAATTTGAACAAAGAATTATAATGACAAAGGCTTGTAGAGAATTTACACATTGGTAGCGCTGAAATAAGCGTTATACATTACGAAATCTTGAGGTAATCTTCTTTTCAGCCACATCGGATTGTTATCAAGGATCTAAGAGGAAGTAGGATTACAAACGAGAAAGCTTAAATAGTTTTGAAGTTTTCGTAAGCATAGATATCTGGGATTAAGCCAAATCGACAAATTATGGAATGATCAGAATGGGTGCTTATATTTCTTCCAAGTAAAAGTAAGGAACGTTGGAGATTTATTTTAATATTAATAAAAATATTTTGAGTAACAGTACTATATACCAAACATCTCTCAAAGTATATTTTGAAAATGAATAATTAGAAATCGGTAGATCGACCTCTAGAAAACCGTGGCTGGAAATTTCCAACCGAAATCTCAAATAAAATAATCGGGAGTAGCTTTAATAATATTAAAAATAATCATCAATCAGCTGTGCTATTTAAAAACAAATAAATGAATTCAATTAAAATTATTTTTAATTTATGCTTTTATCATTTAAGGCAAAAATAACTTGTATTAGTTTCCCACCTATCAATCAAACTTTTCAATTTTAACTTTGAATAAAGCTACATTTTTACTATTTGAAATAAAATAATATTTAATTTCAATTAAGATTAAAAAAAAATTAGCAGTATTTAGGTTGGTAAGTTTAATAAAAGATTATATATTACCTGTCCTTTAAGTTAACCATAGGCCATTCTGGACATTGAAAATGTAAATAACATTTTTCTGAGAAATTTATGACCAAGAAAGGATAAAACATTGAATTTTCAAATTAACAAAGAACTTTTAAAGAGTATAGTGTTATTGGTAGTAAGATTAAGTTCAACTTAATACATTCTATGATTACATGAATTATTACTTTCATAAAATTTTTTTTTTAAATAGTTTCGACACGGGTCAGAACTATCTTTCATCAGGTCTATCTTAGCAGGAGCACCTCAAGGTTCTGTTCTAATACTCTATATCACATACACCCATGACATACCTTGTTGTTACAACATTTTAACAGAGGCATATGTAGACGAAACAGTAATTTTAGAAAGACACGAAAATCCAAAATACGCCTCACAGACGCTAAAACAGTTTTTAACAAAATTATGTGACTTGTTTAAAATTTGGAAAATCTTCCTAAATCAGAACAAATCACAGCATAACACATTTACCCTTCGACATGAAACATGCCCTCCAGTTTTCCTTGACAATACACAGATTCGACAGACAGACTCTGTTGACTGTTTTGGATATACATTTGACCGACAAATGACACATGCCTCACGAAAAAAAAACCCCACTAAATCGAAGACTAAGACTTCTAAATTCACTTCTCGGGAAACACTCAAAACTAAAACTTAAACAGAAATTGAATAAATACAGTTACTTACTAAAATCTATCTAGACCTCATCACTAATGTTTGGAACAGCTAAACAGACTCATATATAAAAATTTCAAATCTTTCAAGTAAAATTTTCAGGGTAATAACTAAAGAACCATGGTACGTTAATTACATAATCTTGCATACTACTTTCATATGCTGACTGTTGACGAATCCACTACAAACAATTCCATGAAAACTTACAGGTGCGTCCTAACATACTTATAAACGACATGGTCACAACACATATGCTGGGAAACGCCCGTAGAAGACTGAAGAGGAGCTGGATGAGGGATATCCTCGCCTAATGTAGATATCACACCAGGAGGAGGTGCCGCTGGGTACTGCTCCCCCTTATGCTTTCCATGCCATCATTTCCTTGATTGTCAATACTATTTTTTGACCGTTTGAATAAAAAATTGCATGTTAAAAAAACCATTATTTTATAAACGATTTCTTCAAGAGAGCACTAAATATTCATAATGGGATCTACAATTCTTAAGCTTAATTACAATTATCATCATGTTAAAATCTAATAACTACGCAATTCATTTCAAAGCCACCAAATGACCGAAGATGGGTGCCTGCTTAGTCAACCATATTCGGCTTAAACCTTTCGTGATTCCTCGTTTTCGAGAATTGTGCAAGAGTGCCTTGCCGACTGATTAGATCCAAACGTTCACCACCCTCAGGAGTTACAAAGAGAGGGACCCCCACGCTCAGAATTGCGAAAGAATCACTAGGCACTGTCGGATGTATGGTTTGGATAGATTAATATGGCTTTTAGTAAGATCTGACAGATTTTGAAACGCATCTGGAATCTTCAGGTGTCCTATGACCTCTGAATGGTTTAGACACTAAACTTTCAGAACTATGGTAATAGTGTGATTTCAAATTTTAAACTCTTACACCATTCCCAATAGTTGACTGATCACCTATAAAATATTATTTATAGAAATGTATTTCTAATATATTCATGACTTTACCCCCACATCATAGGTTATTTCTAGCTTCGTGTTATTTTTGTTATCGTAAGACAACTAGTTATTTCGTTCCATTCTTTATAATTAAATATTAATGTTTTGAATTAACATTCAATTCAATTCAATTCAATCTTTATTTGTTTTCAGGGATGAATCATATACAAATGGAGTCTATCACAAAATACCAAACATTATTATCCTTATGGAAATGCGAATTCCTTTTTATACTACATAACAGATATTACAAAACTATTAAGCAAAATTAAAAATCATATTTGGTAAAGATCAGACAGTTAAAATAGTTCCAATTATCAAATTAAAGTAAAATCTAAAATTGTCAGTAATGTACATAAATAAATACACATAAACCAATAAATACACATTTTTAAAAATATTAATATTAACTTATGTCTTAAAATTAAATTAAAAGATTACACCTATACCTAAGAAAACAAACAAGAAAAATACCCGGACAGATTACATACTGATGTACAATATGAAATTTTAGCCATAATATGCAGAGTACAATATTCCAGATTACCCTATCTATTCTCTATAATTTGATATAATTGAGATAAAAATATATAATTTTCTAATATCGTCTGCACTGGTTGGCTTAAATATTTCTATGCCATCAAAATTTTCCATACTCTGGTAAATTCTTAACCTTAAATTACAGTAAATTGGGCATTTAAATAATATATGATGAAGTGTTTTGTTTTCTTTAGCGTTGCACGTTTTTAAATTATTTAATTAAATTATTTATGTACAGTTTTGAATTAATATACTAATGACTAATTAACTTTTGAAAACAATCTGTAGTAAGTGAACGATCACTTCACAGCTCAGAGTCAGAGATAAATCACGTTTTGAAATTTTTTTATTATTTTTTTTTTTACCGACTCTTTTGACTTCTGCCATTAGTCTTCTCGTAACGTGGGGCTGTTCTAGGCGATAATAAGCTGTAATCGTTTGGTTCTCTTCTTATGTGGATGATATCCAGGGAGCACGTTTTGAAATATAGTAATTAGTTTTATTTAATTTTTTTAAAACAAATTTTATTATATTATAAACGGGAAAATCCAAACTACGTATCCACGAGTCTCCAACGTAAAGGTCAATAGTTAACTTTCCTAGGTTTCGTCAACTGAAGCATCAACAGAGCAGAAAAACCAAGATCACTTATATGCAGAAAGAAAAAAAGAAAAAGAAGAAAAAAAAATGCTATAGACATGTCACGAATCCAACCAAATACGACGTACTCAAGGAAAGATAAGGTTCTATTAACACAACTGAGGAAGATTATATTGAACAGGTGATTAGAAGGAATACAAAGAAGAAAAAAAAATTGTTGCAATACCAAAATTTAATAATAATAAACATGTTAAAATAAATAAAATAACAAATTAATAAATTTAAAAGAAAAGGATCGAAGTTATATTTAACATCCATTACCAACAAAAC